CAGGCCTCCCTCCATAGCCTGCCACCCCACCCCCCCAGCCTCTGGACAGCTCAGGCCTCTGCCCCCACCCCCACCGCCCACGCTGTCCAGGCTGCCTAGGCCTGGTGGGATCTGGGGGCCTCCTGGCCTCAGCCCCTCCTCCCTCTCCTGGAGCTTCCCGCCAGCCAGGACTGTCTCCCTCAGGCTCCCCCTCAGACAATACTGTTCCTCCCTGCCTACCACATTCTTGTACCGGTCTCTGCCCCTGCTCTGTCTCTCATTTTCTCTCCATCTCCAAGTGTAAGTGTCTCTCTTCCTCACTCCACTCTAATTCCTCTTTAGGTCAGAGGCCTCTAGAGTTCCTCTGGCCTTTGAATCAGTTCATGCTGTGTCCTGTCCTGAGTTCTTGCCTCATTGAGAACCAGCCCCCTAGGGCTATTGTGGGGAGAGGCCCCAGGACAGAGTGCCTTTCCCTTCACACAGAGGGATTCTGGGATCTGGGGTTGCAAAGGGGTCCTGGAAGCTGTTGAGATGTCACCTTTGCCCTGCCATGGGCCATTTGTCCTCTATCAGATGAATGTTTCTGACCTCATCCAGCCCTGGGCCATGGGGGAGTCCAGGTCAGTTAACTTTGTTGGATCTCAGTTTCTTGGAGGTACTGCATGGGGCCTCCCTGCTCATTCATTGTCTAGGCCAGGTTGAGCCTATTTGACTATTAGTACACCCACACCAACCAACACCCTGAAGCTCTGAACACAGTTTGTGGTGCATCAACACATACACAGTTAGACCTGGGCTACGGTCAGTGACACTCAGAACACCCCATGTTGGGCTTGTATAACCTGAACTGTCTGCTTCTGCTTTCCAGAACTCACACTCCTCCTTCCTCAAGTTCTGCCTTCAGCTGGGTAGGGGCTGAGGGTGAGGGGTGCAGGGCAACTAGGACCTTGCTGGAGCTGGCAAGAGAGATCTAGGGCCCTGGATCCTAAGCCAGACTCATACCCTAGGTAACTGAGGTTCCTGATCTGGAGCCTGTCACTTGTATCTGTCATTGTTACTGCTGGTGACTGTCAGCCTCTATGGTGCCAGTATTACTGTAGACTATTACTGGGTTTTATTAACATCCCTGTGGCACTATGGATGTCACCATCATTGTTACTCTATGTGACTGTCAGTCTCATTGCATTTTTTATTTTGAGGTTACTGAGACTGTGACTGTGTCAATGTCAGCAGGTATCATTGCTCTGTTTGTTGGTGCCATTGAATGTGACTATCACTCACTGCATCATTGTCAGTGTAGTGACTATTAACACCCATGTGTCGGTGTCAACTGTACAACTGGGTTATTTATACTGGGTGTTATCAATATGTAATAATGTGTCACAGTGGGACAGTAACAGTAAGTTGGGGGCCCAGGATTAGTGTCTTGATGTGTCACCTGTGTGTGTGTATAACAGTGACACTCTGGGGTTCTCTACCAGGAGAAGTGCTGGGCTACTTGTGCTGACAAGGGGTTTGGCTGCTGGGCACTGGGCTCCTTGTTACTGGGGTGGTTTCTGTTTCCTCCTCATTCTGGGGTTGGAGCTGGAGGCCAGGCTGGCCCCTGGAGGGGTCTACAGGGAACCTGGGTCAGTTTGCAGGCCCTTATCTGAGACTGTATGGGATTTATTCTCCAGATTTATCCCAGAGCCAGGGGGTGTGGACTCGGAAAATTCCTGGGAAAGATGCTCTTTGCCCTGGGATGGGTGGCCTGAAGTGAGCTAGGGCAGGGTGGAGGTGTAGTCTGGATGCCTCTGGCCTCAGCTTCTTTACCTGGGAATGGGCCCAGCTGGCACTCTGAGAGAAGGGGGAAGTGAAATTGGCCTGGGGCTTTCTGGATATATGGGACAGAGATGGAGTGGGGTTTTAGTCCACCCTTATCCCCTGAGGTCTTAACTACAGGATCCCCAAAGAGAAGCCCTACAGTTCCCAAGAAGGCCCTGCTCCTTTTGTCTCGTGTTGGCCAGGGCTGCTGCACTGACACTATGCCTCACACTGGAGGAGCTAGGTAGGCTTAGACAGATGCTCTAGGGTGGGCACAGAGACCCTGCCAATGTGTCTGTCATTCTCTCTAGGTCTGTCTCCTTCTGCCCTTGAATCTCTGCCCATTTCCTATGCTCCTCATCTCTCTTCCTGAGTCTGTTCTTCCATTTCTCCTTATTTTGGTCCCTCCTTGTCCCTTTGGGTCTCGGCTCATGGCTTTCCTTCTCTCCCTACCTCTGTGTTCCCCTCTTCCTGGGTTTCTCTCTTTTCTGTGTACCCCAACTATGCAGTATCTCTCTTGGTACCCCATCCCCCACTCTGCAGTGCTCACTCTCAGCACGCCCGCCCATCTCCCATGGCTGCAGCCCCGTTGGCCCAGGGCCCGGCCCTTACAGTAACTCATCGGGCTGATGGAGGCGACTTTGATGAAGAAGCCACCCCTCCCCCTGTGGAGGCCCGGAGGCCCGTGGTGTGTGTGTGTGTGTGTGTGTGTGTGTGTGTGTGTGTTTGCTTGTATGCCAGGCTCTCTCCTTACCCCTGCCCCTCCCCCTAACTGGGACCAGGAAGGAGCTGGGAGCAGAGGGCCACCCGGTCCCTTTTCTCCTATCCTGTGATCTAATCTCCATCTACTCCGCCAGCCCAGCTGCCTCCCCATGCCAAGGTTCCTGCTCCCATGTGGTGGGCAGTGCGTGGCACTGAGGTGGAGTATCTTCTTGGCTGTGAGGAGAAAGAGGAGCAGATGGTAGAGATGGTGGGGGAGGGTCTAAGGACTACCTACATGAGCTGGAGGTGGGGAACCAGCTCTTGTCTCTCCTTCTCTAACACCAGCTCTAAAATCAGACAGTTCTGGGTTCATTTCCTGGCTCCACTACTTGCTGACTGTGACTTTGGCCATCTTAACCCCTAGCCCTGAGGAGTAGCTGAGGGTCAGGAGCCAGGCCACGTGGTAGCTAAGGCTCAAGGAGTCACTGCCGTGGGAGGGATAGCCAAGGCCATGTGGGGCCTACAGAAATATGCTGTGCCAGGGAGAGGCAGTTAGAGCACCTATGGCTGTGGCTGGAGGAAAACCAGGGCAGATGGGGGGACTCACCTGGTGAGGGGCAAGTATAGCAACAGGCAGGCAGGAGCCCTCTCTCATTAAGGAGCCCCACCCACTGGTTCAGGCTGACACCCACATTTGTCTCCTCCTGCTCTAGCCGTCTACAGTGTCTCTGGCAGTATTTCTGACAGTGGCTCTGGCTGTGTCTGGCAGTGTGTCCGGCTGTGTATGTGAGTGTCCCTGGCAGTGTTTTTAGTGGTGTGGATACTTCCTGACTGAGCATCTGGCTGTGTCTCTGGTTCTCTCTAGCTGTTTTTCTGAGTGTATGCTTGTTTGTGTCTATCTGTTTCTCTGGTGTTTTTCTGCTTGTGTGTTAGGCAGTTTCTCTGGCATGGTTTTGGACAGTGTCTGGCTCTCTGGCGGTGTCGCTGATGGTTTCTCTGCCTGTGCTTCTTGCTTTCTATGGTGCTACCTTGGCTTGCATCTGGCTGAGTCTTTTACAATGTTTCTGGCGGGTCTTTTGGTTGTGTATAAGCTGTTCTCTGGCTTTGTCTGATTCTGCCTCACAGTCTCCCAGTATAATTCCAACTGTGTGGACCTGTTTTCGGGGGGGGGGGGGTCTGTTTAACTGTTTTGAGCAGTGTGTCTGGCCAGTGTCTTTGCTGTATGTCTGGCTACACCTTTGACAGTGTCTGGTTGAGTGTTTGGCAGTATTCCTCTCTGGGTCTCTACTTCTGTCTGGTTGACAGTCCCCCGTCTCCTCAGACTGGGTTGGGAGAATCATATTTGGAGCTTTTTCTGCAGGAAATAGTTATTTTCCTGCTCTCAGGTATAAGTGTATGCTGGGGTAGGGTTGGAGGGGGACAGCTGGACCTATTCCAGGAAGCAGGACAACAAGGGGGGCAAATGGATTCTTCCTGGGTTCGGGGGACATGTTCTGAGTGTGCTTTAGGTACCCACATGGATGTGTGTAGACACTGATGCATACCTGCTGAGCTGCAGGTCCCACGCTCCTGGGTGAAGGATGGGCTGAGATCCCTGACAAGGACCTACATGTGAAAACCCCTCATTCTTCTCTTGATCATCTGTGCACATTAAAGCAAAAGCCACATCTGACCTGGGCCACAATGGACCCCTGCTCTGGTACCCTGCTCCTCTGAAGTTCCCAAAGCCCAGTGGCAAGGCTCACTGAGGGGCAGATCTGAGGGGCTCCTGAGCATACAGGATTTGGGCTGTCTCCCCAGAGGCACAGCAAGGGACCTTCCATTCAAGGCAATTTGAAGAAGTATAGACCTCCAACTAAGTTAAAACATTATCCTTTCCTTTTGCAATGTTTATAGCTAATTAGCCAACCTCACCAGTAAAGTTATTTTATTTTTATTTTTTCCATTGATTTTTTTTTTTTTTTTTTTTTAGAGAGAGAATGGAAGGGAGGGGGAAGAGGAGAAACATCAATGTGAGAGAGACACGTCAATTGGTTGCCTCCCACATGACCCCAACCGGGGCCAGGGATCGAAACTACAACCCAGGTACATGCCCTGACCAAGAATCGAACCCAAGACCCTTTGGTGCAAGGGCTGACACCCTAACCACTGAGTAACACCAGCCAGGCCAGTTATTTATTTATTTTTTAAAGAAAAATGACCCTAACATTACTAGTGTTCTGTAACTAATCCACGGTTGACTACATCCTGCAGGCAGCAGCCTTATCGAGCAACAAACCACTGTAGGTTGCCTTCTAGCGTCTTAGCAAACTTTTGCTTACAGATGCCAATAATGTTGTTTTCTATTGCTTGAAAGAGGATCCTGAGCCCCATTAAGAAGGGCATTTGGGGTCAAGGTGCCTGGCCCTAGGGCTGGGATTTCCCAGCCTTGCCTGAGGAAGGGAGGGGGGCTCCCTAGAAGGTTCCTGCCTGGGCTGATGCTGCCCCTTCCCTGCTACCCCTGTTTCTCCCAACAGATGGCCGTTCCTGTCCCATGGGCCTGCTGTGCTGTGCTTGCTGCCACTACTGCTATTGTCTACGCCCAGAGACACAGTCCTCAGGGTGAGTGCTGAGGCGGGGGGGCGGGGGGGTTCCTGCTGACCCTCTCCCAGAGCTGAGTATAAGCCTTCTTCAGCATAGCTATATGCATTCACTCGAGAGCCACACACTGGCATATGCTGGTATCATCATCCATGAACACCCAGAAGGACATGAGTCATATAACACTGATATGCAGGATGACCCACAGATGTTGTTTCATAGGCATAGTCCTTCAGTCCCTCCTGGGTGGTCTCAGGCTGATGGTATCTCTGGCTTGAGATGATCTATCCCTCTTCCCATTAGGATGGATGTAGGGTACAGACAGGTGGGATGGGAGTTGGGGGTGGCTAGGGCCAGGGCCTGTGTACAGTATCTAGTGAATTGGGGTCCCCTAAGGGCTTTGGGGGGCATGCAGTGGGAGGCACTGAGAGAGACAGTGGGCAAGAATGCTTCTCCATATCCTACAGGAAATATGGGGACAGAGATGGTAGACTGAGAACAAGATGGGGGAACAGGCAGGGTGACAAGTGGGAGAGGGCTGGCACACTAAGGAAGGGGACTGGTCAGTCAGTCAGCTGGAATGGAATGGAATGGCTGGAGGAGGCAAGTATTATTCAGGTAGTACCAGTGGCAGACTCCTGTCTTCCCCTTACCAATGTCCAATGAGGGTCTAGTTCTCCCCACAGCTCACAGGGCAAGGAGCTGCACCCTTGCTGGGAAGCAGGCACCCTCTTAGCTTGAGCACCAGCCCTTCCACTGCATTTGAGGCAGCACTTCAAAAACCCACAATACAAGGGCTGACCTCAAAACTCCTCAAATGAGGCTCCAGTTGTAGGGAGCTCCCCTTTTAGATGTATTCTGCATCACCCGTCCCCACCTCAGCTGACTTGGGTAGAGGCAGAGAAGGTGGGGCAGCCCTGAGGCCCAAGCATGGAGCAGACACTGATGGCTAAGATCTGCCACCCTCAAGGCTGTGGGTTCAAGGAGGGCAGGGGGTCGAGGCTACTGTGTCCTCTTCCTTGTGCGACCAGCACTGAGACCCAGAGAGCCTGGCCTGCTCCAGGGCTGCTCCCCAGTAGGCAGGGGCTAAACGGACCACTACTAGGCCAGCCTGTTGACTTCCCTCCTGCAGTTAACCTGCCCTGGGCTCCTGCGCTGACCTGGCTTGCCTAGGCCTGCAGTGGTCTCTACCATTGGCCTTGTCCCTGCCCAGTGTGTAAAGCAGAGCCACATGTAACCAAGGCCACATCTCTGTGATTGTGTGACTGTTCTTGTGCATTAGGCTGTGTTCTTGTGTGAGTGACACCATGTCTCTGTTTGTGTTTCTCTGGGTGGTTGCATCCTTGTGGGCTGTGCCCTGGTGTGATATTATCTGTCTGTGTGTGACCATGCCCTCTGTGGGACTGTGTTCTTGTGGTTGAGACTGTACCCCATGTGTGATAGTTTCTCTCTGTCTCTGTGTGTTTGCACTCCTGTTAAACTATCTCCCCATGTATGAGAACATGTTCCCATGTATAACTGTGCCTCTGAGTAATGGTGCCTTTCCTGTGCATGCATGTGATCTTATATCAGGTGCTACCATCCCTGAAGTGGGACAGTGTCCCTGTGTGGCTGTGACCTTGTGGACTATTGTCCTGTGTGTGCTTGTTCTTTGTTGTGATTATCCTTGTCCTATGTGTGTGGTGATGTGAAGTTGCTTAGGATACCCGAGGGGACTGTTTCCAGCATGTGGTCCCCATGTGAGCCTGTGTGCACAGGTGTGAGGGAGCCCTCAGCACTGTCCCTCTGTGTTCTCTGTGTCCATGACCTCATCCTGTCTCTGTCTCTCATCCTGGCTTCTAACAACCTTTTCACAGCTGATTCCTTTGGAGCATTTGTCACCGTGTCAGGGCCAAGAACCTCATCCTCCCCCTGCTGCTTGATTTAATTTCTGAAATGGACAGCATATCAGTAGGGACACCCATGGGGTAGGAGGAGAGCTGTCCAGAGACAAAGGATTAAATCACTGCCATCTTTGGAGCTGTTGCATGGCTGTGTGTATTGCCATTGTTGTGTTATTGTAGTTGTGTGACACTGTGTGATTGTCATGTCACGTCACTGCCTCTGCCTTGTGGCTTGTAGTTTTCTTCCGTCATTGTATTGTCATTTTTTCATTCCTGCTCTGCCCTTACATTGTTGGTTTGTCATTGTCATTGGGTTGTGTTTCCATGTCCTCTGTGAGGCGGACAAGGTGCAGTGAGGAAGTGTTACCTCACTGCCATTATATTTGTTGTGCTGTTGGGTTGCCATTTCTTCATCTTGTGGCTGTACCTGCCCCCCAGGATTAAAGGGCCATCCTGGGTCCACGTTAGTTCTGAGTTGCTGTTGGTCAGTGTTGATGTGTTGCCGCTGGGACCATGATAGCCACACCCCCTCCTCAACGGTCAGTTTCCAGCCTCCTCCTCAAGCAGCTGGACGCAGAGTCTCTGCTGGGGGGGTGGCGTGCAGAGAGAGGGGCTTGGCATGTTTCCTGGAAGCTCCAGGTTTTTGGAAGGGAGGATAGAGGGGGGCTCAATGGCTAGGGCTGGTGGAATGGGGGGGCTCTATGGCTTGAGCCTTGGACACTGGGCCTCTGGTCAGGGGGAGGCCCCCATTTAGTCTCTGGTCCAGCCTCACAGCTGTGGCCTCCAAGGCCCCCAGCCGCCGCCCTTCCGCCCCGTTCATCCTCTGTTCGGCTGGTCCCAGGCTCCACAGACGAATGGTCAGGGCTGGCTGGGTTTCCTGCTTCCCTCTTCTTCGACAGGGACAGGGAGGCTCAGAGAGGGGCAAGACAGAGACAAGCAGTGGAGGAGAGACCTGGAGATAGGGAAAGACCCCAGCACAGGGAGGCTGACAGAGACAGCAAACAGGGACAGATGTTCCAGCAGCACAGAGAAAAGCAGTATGGGGAGGGGGCTGGATGGAGGGAAGGGGGTATCTGGAGACATAGGGGGGATCCCTACCCCCTGCTGTCCTGGTGGTGTTAACAAGTCTAATTAAGAGGCCACTGGCCCAACTTAATTGGCTCGTTAACAGGAACTGCCTCTGAAAATTTCCCAACTCAGTGGGGTAGCTCTCTGAGGGGAGACTTGAATGAGTGTTAACGAGGGATCCCGCAGCCCCCCCACCTGGACCCCTCCCCCTCACTCTTCCCCTCCTACCCTCACTCCACAGATCTGGCTGGGACCAGGGAAGCATCTGTCCTTCCAGACTTGGGGGGCAGGATGCAGAGAGTAGATTTGCATCTCCCGGCTCTTCATGCCTGTTTCTCTGCTGGTGTCTGTAGAAGGGTGTCTGGGACTTTCTCTGTCCCATAGGCTTCCCCCACCTAGTGCTGCCTCTTGACAGGTGCTCCCTCCTGCCCTTCCACTCTAGTCTCCTGGGCTCCGTCCATCACGCCTGGATTGCGGAGGCCAGGGCTGGAGTTTGCTTTTGGCTCTGACAGGCCCCTCCTGGGGGCAGGAGAGGAATGGTCAGAGAGCTCCCTTAGTCCCAGCACTCCCCCACCCCCAACCCAAGCAGTTCCTGCCTCACGAAGTTGACAGCTGCCAGGAGTTCCCTAGGGCTCCTGTCCTCCACCCAGCCCATTCTCTCTTCTCCTGCTGCTGCCCAAGCCCTGGATGGCTGTTTGGGGGGTGGGGAAGTAGGGCTCGTCAGGGGGGCCAGAGTGGGAGAGAGAGAGAAAGGCAAGACAGAAAGAGATAAGGATGGGGAAGAGAAACAGATGGGGGAAGACAGAGAAAGGAGTCCAGGAATGGGGCCCCTCCAGCTTGCCTGGGTAGCAGATGTAGTGACTGGGGCTGGGCCTGTTGATGGTAAGAGGGTTAGGGTCATGGGGGTCAGGAAAACTTTTTTTTTTTTTTTTTTTATCCTCACCCGAGGACACTTTTTCATTCTTTGTTCAGATAGAGCAGGAGGGAGGGAGAGAGAGAAACATCGATGTGAAAGGGACACATCGAGTGGCTGCCACCCGCACGACCAACCAGGGCCGGGGACAAACTGCAACCGAGGTACATGCCCTTAGCGGGAACCGAACCCGGGTCTCTCCGGACCGCAGGCCGACGCTCTAACCGCTGAGCCAAACCGGCCAGGGCAGGAAAACTTTTTAAAAAATATGTTTTTATTGATTTCTTGGAGGAAGGGAGAGAGATAGAAACATCAACGTTTGAGAGAAACATCAGTTGGTTGCCTCCCACTGGAGATCGAGCCTGCAACCCGGGCAGGGGGAATCAAACTGGGACCTCTCAGTCCATGGGATGATGCTCAATCCACTGAGCCATGCCAGCCGGGCAGAAAAACTTTTCAAAGGACCTAGGGACTGGAGGTGAACTGCGTTTTCACTGAGTTCTAAAATACCTCCCAGCACTCTACACAATCTCAATCTCAATCTCTCTCTCTCTCTCTCTCTCTCTTACACACACACACACACACACAGATCATCCATTTACACACACACAATGTTGGAGACACTCACATATCTGTATACTTGCACAGCCACAGAGACATCTTACACACTCATCTCCCCAAGATACTTAACACCATCAGACACGGAGCCTCTTGGCCTGGATTTCTCACTCGTGCTTAATCAGAATTTCATCCTTGCACATTCACCTGGGGTTGCTGGGCACAGCTGTGACCTGTCTTTTGCTCTGTGCTCCCCCCCCTCCAGAGGCACCCCATGTGCAGTATGAGCGCCTGGGCTCAGATGTGACTCTGCCTTGTGGGACAGCCAACTGGGATGCAGCTGTGACGTGGCAGGTAAACGGGACAGACCTGGCCCCTGACCTACTCAATGGCTCTCAGCTCGTGCTCCGTGGCCTGGAACTGGGCCACAGCGGCCTCTACGCCTGTTTCCACCATGACTCCTGGCACCCGCGCCACCAAGTTCTCCTACATGTGGGCTGTAAGTGTTGCTCCCAACCCCTCATCCAATCTCCTACTTCACCCAGAGGAGTTGTCCCCAGACCCCTGGCCTAGATCAAGTCCCCTTCCTGCTGGTGGAGGGAGGAGGGCTGCAGCATCTTGCTTGCCCTCTGATTCCATCCCAGCCTGTTCTTCTGACCTCTGAGCCAAGTCTTACCCACTGAGTCTAGACCCCTGGATATTTTGCACATATATCTCCCCCTAACCCAAGAGGTCTTTGAGATCCTGAAATTCTGTTCCTGTGACAAGATGGATAGAGGAGAGCTGGCAGGTCATGGCCCATCTGGAGCCTGGTGGGGATTAATCCTGGGGTCACAGATCAGAGCAGGAGCAGTCACATTCCACTGTGTGCTGTCACAGGGGATGGCCATGAGGACGTTATGGAGGAAAATGAGATCTGTGGTTATGTAGACAGATATGGGTGCTCAGGAAGACCCAGGAAAGAAGGATTGGAGGAGGGAAGGAGAGGAGACTAGAGAGCAAGAGGAATCAAGGTAGCTGGCGGTACCAGTCACAGCAACAGAGACACCATAGGAGGGTCCTTTGGAGGAGAAGGTAGTATATTCCATTTGGACAGTATCTTTTGGGTTTCCTTAGAGGCAGATCCCAAGATGAAAATTCATATGCAAGTAGTTTGTTTGGCGGGTGATGGAAACACCGTAGGGGAATGGGAAAATGATAGGAAGTTAAGTTAGTCAGTAAAGAGTTACCAGACATTAAGTCTGGGCTATTGGAGCTTAACTCACTGGGGGAACTCTTGCAGTCCAGGCAGAACATGCACCTTAGAGGTCTCTTGCCAGAGGAGTGAGGAAGCATGGGTGCTTATACACCAACTCCTGCCCATCCTTGGTTGGGGGATTCTCCTGGGGTGAGGATGGGGATGTTGTTAATTCTGCAGCACTTTTAGCCTGGTGCCTCAGCAGGCAAAGCAGACTTTGGTGTCTAAAGAAAGCTCTTAGGCAAATAACTGCAGAAGCAGCAGTGTATATGGGTGAGGGATCTGTGGCACTATCCATATCTGCTATAAACAGGTTTGTTGGAGTCTTTGGGTGACAACTGGGAATTGATGGCTGGTAGTCAGTGAATCTAAAGGTCTGAGGTTCAGGGGAGAGATCTATGTTGGAGATGGGAATTTGGGAAGCTGTCAGCATCAAGGCCCTGGGAGGGATGAGATGGCCAAGGGGAGAGATTGTGAGATGTGGAGAGAAGAGGACCCAGAGTAAGCTCTGAAGACCATCACTGTATAAGGGGTTGATGGAGAGAAATAAGCCACGAAGAGAGGAGGAGCCAGCAGGAAGGTAGGGGGAAGCCCAGGTGAGTGGGGTTTGGAGAAGTTGGAAGAATGAGGTTATCAGTGTTGCTTAGGGTCAGCACCGGGATCCCAGCCAGAGGCTCCCACTGACAGAATAAGTACTCAGAAAACAGTTTTATTTTCTCCTTGAGCCAAAGATTCAAGCTTCTCTGGCCTCGTGCCAATTGGGTGATGCACCCCACTGCCTGAAGATGGTTTCTTTTTTCTCCCTGGCAGCTACCAAGAGGAGGAGATGCTTGAGAGTCCTGGAAGCAGGCCCTTGTTCCATTGTCAGGAGATTGGTGTGGATAACCATGGGCAATATTAGGTTGAAGGGTTGCTCAGGGTTCTCCACAAAAACACTGACCCACCAGTAAGGCAAGAGGAGGGGTGGAAATATATTTTGGTGGGGAGGTGGCTTTCCTAACCAAACAGCTTAGTTGCAAACCAGGGGTGAAGTGACCCCTGTTGGCCAGGTCTAGAAATGCAGGACCAGCCTACAGGAGTCCTTGACCCACCTGAAGTGGAGGACTCAGCCTTTCCCCCAGACCTTACTGGGGGTTGTATATACTGAGTGCCGTGGAAGAAGGAAAAGGCCAACTTGGCACTGTCACTTACATGCCTGACTTCTCAGTTTGATTCCCACAAGTCTTCAGGATGGACAAGGTTGGCAGTAATGGCTGGGCCTTGGTGACACTGCCCCCGCCCCTTCCCCATTCCTGATGACTTGATCTTCTTTGAGGGGGATTGGATCTAAAAGTAATTGCTATAGTCTGTATACACAGGACATGCCCACAGCTGCCCTGTTGTGACCAGAGACCAGACCTTTTGTATATAGTGTTGACCACTCCCCACGCCCTGCCTGTCAGAGGAGAGCTGGCCATGAATTGGCTGTAGCATTAGTAACCGGTACTTATCTCTCATTGCCTTATTTCCTTCTAAAGAGCTGGTCAGGGGAACAAGGGACATTAATCATGATTGTCTCAGTCACTTCATATTAGTAACAAGAGACTGGGTTTGGCAATACTCAATATCAAATTATGCTTCTTGCCAGCACTCAGAGAACAGGACAAAGTTACCCCTGATTTGTGGGTTGTTCAAATCAAAAATTATTTAATGTTTATCCTAAACATATATGATTTTTAAGTCTATATCTATGGGTACCTGATCATAAAAATGTTCTATTGAAAGTCCTCTTACTCAGACAGATCCCTGAATTGCTTTCTCTTGATCGACCTTCCTGCCCTCAGGTGGATACTCGCAAATACCTCTGAGGAGTCCCCTGTCCAGGATGATGAAGGGACCCATACACACATTAGAAAATAGGATCATAGGGTTCCCTTTAATAGTCTTTTGTTTACTAGACACAGCTGATGCAGTGTTGTTTTGATTTTAAGCTAAAACAAATCAGAGATTAATCCACTAACTGTATGTATTTATTTATTTCTTGACAACCACTTGGCTACTGGTGTGCCCTAGGCCCAGTGCAAAAACAAGGTCCTTGCCTGGGGATACTCCATTGTTGTTGGGGTTAAAGACCAGAGGACACACTCAACCAATCAAGATAGCAGGAAGATAGGAACTCCGTCCTGGGGGAGGCCCCAGGGCCAGCCTTGTGCTGTTAGGGGGAGTATTTGGGTGATGGGGGTTTTTTGTTTTGGAGAGAGAGAGAAACCTCCATTGGTACTCCACCCATTTATGCATTCATTGGTTGTCTTTTGTATGTGCCCCGACTAGAGATCTAACTGCAACCTTGGCTTTGGGGATGAGTCTCTAACTAGCTAGGCTCCTAATACAGGAGCCAGTCGTGTGTTGCTTCCCAAATGACTAGTTTTCTTTTTCTTTTGAACTAATTTCATCGGCAGTCAATGGTGAGAAATTAAATGTAATCCACTAACTTTAAACTGGACAGTTCTTACTCAGTTTTTAAAAAATTTGTATTTGATTGGTCAGGATGGGAGCTCCAGATCCCCTGGTTCAGCACTACTTTGCCCTGAGCCCTGTTGGCTGGGAAGGAAAGAGCAGCCTGTGGGAGGCAGGAAGGGGTATTTGGGAGTCCATAAGTTGGGATATATATCAAGGGATGCCACAAGACAAGGTTGGGACAGGCCATGACCCTTGAATGCCAGGCAGGAAGGAGGAGTGTGGGTGGGGCCTGGGCAGGGCTGGAGCTGGAAGGGTCCTGCCCCGCCCAGCCTGATCTGGCGTGGCCAGGGGTGTGGGCTGCTTGCCCCTCCTCCTCTTTGGGCCTCTGGGCCAGCCTCATGCATGCTGGGGGCTCCAGCCTAGGCGGGCTGGCGAGATGAGAGGAAAAACATGCGGTTTGGTGGGCTGGACATGGAAAAACAAGCCAATTAGGAGGAAAACAAACAAACCCCAGGCCAGCGAGGGCACACGCACACATGCACACGCACACACGGCCCCGCATGGGACCCAGGGACACCCTGCCACTGGCTGGCAGCATCACTGGACATTTCAGGAATCCCGACAAGAGGCAACTCAGGATGCCTGGGCATTCAGGAACACGCCTGTATACTCCGAGTGTGATACTATATGTATGCATGTGAGCTTCTCCTAACATGCTGTCATACAACGTTCAGCTCATACATGTGAACACACTTGGAATTCTGGGCACCTTTCCACACCCAGTTTGAAAAACAAATTCAGGCTTAAACTCCATCTTATATATGCAGTGTCTCAGGTATGTAGTCCTGCTGTCACTGTGTTTCAGACAGAGGCACATTTACACGTGCTCTCACAGCATACCTCAGCTGCACAGACCGTCTCAAACTCGAACAGCCTCTCCCTGAGTCACACACGCAGTCATTGTCACACACAGCCAATCACACAGTTACACGACTGCCCAGAGTCTCAGTCACACACATGAAGCCGCTCAGCATTACACACACAGCCACACAGTTGCATTGTCTTAAAAAATTGTTTCTCCCCCAACTCGCAGCACACTCACAACAGGCCTCCTGATCACACTCTGTCCCACAGCCTCACACTTGGTCTCTCACAGCACCCCCACCTCCGCCCACCCGGCCCCTCAGCTGGGCTCCAGCTGCAGCAAGTCACTCCTTTTCTTCCTTTTCTTTGTTTTTCTTTCCTCCTTTTCCCTCTGAGAAACCTGGTCCCTGTCAGGAAACCCAAGCCCTTCCCTACTCAGGGCCCAGGGCCAGGCAGGAGTAGCCAGATGACAGACAAAGCCCTGCCTGGCCCCCCAGCCCTCCATGACCTGCCCAGTTAGACAGGGAAATTTGTTTGAGGGGGAGGCTGGTTTGAGAGGGGAGGACCGTCTGAGAAATGGAGGAGGCTGGTCAATGGGGAGGCTGGTCAGGGGAAGGGGCCTGTGAGTCCATTGCCATGGCCTGCTCTGCCCTCCCCCCAATCCTGGGCGGGCAAAGCTGGGAGCTGACTCTGCAGGCTTCAATCCCTACCCCTCCACCCCCCAGTGCCCTTCTCCTTTGAAGCTGGGGGTAAGGGGGGGTGGTGGCAGAAGGGAGGAGTGGAAGCTTTTCAGCTGACCTCAGAATGTCCTTTCCTCCTGGGGTGCCTGCCAACTCTGGCCTGGCCCACAGGCCCCCACAAGGCACTTCCTGTGTCCTTGGCCGCCCCCCACCCCACCCCCACGCCTCTGTGCCCCTGGGCAGAGAGGGAAGGGATACAGTATGAAGATGGACACAGGGCCAGGAAGGCTTCCCAGGGGAGGCAGACAGCAGCGAGCAGAATGCAGGTTGCCCCTGTGGGGGCTTAGCTAGCTCTTGTCTCCTTTGCAGGCCTAAGGCATGCCGCTGCCTCTGCCCACAGCATTGCCCTCTCCACTTGCTACACCCAAGCTTCCCTGATGCCTCTCTGAGCCCCTATTTCTCCTGCTGCAAAGCCGGATGGGGTCCTGGGGGTTCAGCCCAAATACATACATGCATACTTTACACATACTGGACATGTGTGTACATGCAATCACACAGAGTCACTCACAGTCACGTGCATACTGGATGAAAGCCCACAGTTCCCCATGTGTCACCATGGCCACTCAGCAAGCATAGACATGCACTCCCCTTCACTGTCCCTGGCTTATTGAACTGCCCCCTCCTATTTCCTGTCCACCTGTCAGGCAGGAGGCGGGGAAGGGGAGAGGGGGACACAGGAGGGAGGTGTCAGTGTCCCTGGAGCCACCACAGACATTCCTTGCCTGGGTCAGATCACAGAAGCTGCCTCCTTCCAGGAACCTGAGCCGGCTGTCCTCACGCCTTACCCAGTGCCTGAGGGTGGGACAGCTGGACTTAAGTGCTCATGACATCCAGAGTGTGGTTAGACAGCAGAAAAGACTTCCCTAGTGTGTTTGTGTGTTCCTATCCTCGGGTGTAGTCCCAGCTTTGACTTGCTGTGTAGTCCCAGGCAGTCCCTCTTCCTCTCTGGACCTCCCTATTTCAGAGTGAAGACAGCTGCTGACCATGTAAAGGGCTTTTTAAAGGGTCTGTGATGGAGAAGCCAGGGCTAGGGCTGGGATGAGGTATACACCAAGGGAATAGCAGCTTCTAATCAGCAGGTACACACACATGTAGTCATACAGGAACACACACTCTGAGAGCCATGCACGTAGATTCTTCTACACGTGTACCTACATCCCATCACAGGTCAGTCATTCATGTCACATAGAGACATGTGCAACATATATAACCCATAGAGACATGTGCAACATGTACAGATAGAAACATGAACAGCCACCCGGTGCTTTTGTTGCTGTGGAACCACCAGGCCTGTCTTCATGTTTCTCATTCTCTACTGAGGGGAAGCCTGGGTGTCTCTTTTCCAGGGAGTGCACCCTGATCATCCCAGCAATCAGGCTCCCCTTGGCCTCTGTTGCCAAGTTTGGGAATGGACACAGTGTGGCAGGAGATGTGGGGCTGGGCTGATTCCCCCAGACAACACCTCCATCCTGTGATTGATGAGCTGAGGCCCGCAGCCCCCTGCTCCCCATAATTCCAGCGTCTATTGAGCAGGTGGGGGGGGGCTCCCTCTCCTTACAGCCCTTGTTTTTCTTTAATTAAACATCTGGCTCTCTGTGGCCTGGGAAGCCTCAGACCCTTGCTGACAGTCCCCCCCTCAACCTCTGGCATTGCTGATGGGTTAGAGGGGGAGAGCTGGGGTTCTGGGGCCCACCTGTCCCCATACTAGTGCAGGGGACGGGAAGCTCCAAGAATGCCCTGACCATGCTCTCTTCACCCCCAGTGCCGCCACGGGAGCCTGTGCTCAGCTGCCGCTCTAACACTTACCCCAAGGGTTTCTACTGCAGCTGGCATCTGCCTGCCCCCACCTACATCCCCAACACCTTCAATGTGACTGTGATGTGAGTAGACACACCTGTGACTCAGTTCCAATCCTGACCTCTGACCTCTCTCCTGCACACCCCACCCACCCCATGCCCACAGTCCAGACCCATAGCCCAGCCTTTGGCTTGACCTTCCCCAACCTCTGCCCGACCTGACCCTTGATGTTGGTAACCGTGCCTGGGCCTCACCCCTCCCAGGCACGGATCCAAAATTATGGTCTGTGAGAAGGACCCAGCCCTCAAGAACCGCTGTCACATCCGCTACATGCACCTGTTCTCCACCATCAAGTACAAGGTCTCGATAAGTGTCAGCAATGCCCTGGGCCACAACGCCACAGCTATCACCTTCGACGAGTTCACCATTGGTACGTGGGAAGAGGGGGGTCCCTGCTGCTTACTTTAATGGGAGTGTGTAAGTGGGTATGTGCCAGAGGTGTATATGAGCATTGGTGGGATATTCACATGTGTGCACAGGTATATGTGGTATGTATATGCACGCTGTACATATATGCAAGGCATTTATGTACCTGGGAACATTTGAGTGAATGTCCTTTACCTGCAGGGGCCGAGAGACCTCTATAGCAGCTCTTCCCATCATCTCTCTGGCTCCCACAGCATACAGGAGGGGGAGGGGGGGCAGGCTGGGCCAGACCCTTGTGCAGCTGCAGCCTCCACCCCCCCCCACACACTAATAGCTTCCTTACGGCCTGTGATGAATGAGGTGTCAGAACAGGAGACAGGAGTGGGACAGATACTGAGCCCCCCCCAACCCCCATCCCAGCCAGACCTCTGCCTATCTCTGCTCCATCCCAGCCAGACCCCTTGCCTTCTCTTACTGCTAGCCAGACCCAGCCAGACCCTCTGCTTGCCTCCCCACCCCATGGCTGGGTCTCCAGGCAGACTGTTTCTACATGAGGTGGGCCGTTATATGCTCCCATCAGATCCTCAGCCTACCTTCAACTGAGATCTGTAAAACCTGTGGTCTGCTTTTAACCTTGACCCACAGAGGCAACTCCAAACCCATACTCTTCTAAGGGAGTCCATGTCTCAGTTTGGAAATGGAAAAGTTGAAGTGAAAAGCCAGGCTTGGGGGGAGTGTATAATGCTGGTGTAGGAGGGGATATCCAGGTGACGATGAGGGTGACAGTAGAACCATCATATAGGCTTAGTAATTGGGATACTGGTGTCATCATGAGGATGGGGTTGGGATGATGGAGTGAAATTTGGGATATTGATATCATGAGTCAGTAACAGTGACTACTATAATGACAGTCATTGGTGATGATAGGATGTGAGAGTTGAAAGTAATGAAATGGTTGTTAAAGGTGCTGTCAGACCTGACAGCAGAGAAGAGGGATGGCAACCATGGTGGTTGACAATGTTGAGATGGTGGACATGGTGGCTGGGTGGATGAAGTGGTGGTGTTCCCAGAGATTAGTGTGGTAATGAAGCTATGTCTCCTGAACAGTGAAGCCTGATCCTCCAGAAAACGTGGTAGCCCGGCCGGTGCCCAGCAACCCTCGCCGGCTAGAGGTGACATGGCAGACCCCCTCCACCTGGCCCGACCCTGAATCCTTTCCTCTCAAGTTCTTTCTGCGCTACCGACCCCTCATTCTGGACCAGTGGCAGCATGTGAGTGCCCTATCTGACTTTGCTCAGATCCTGAGTGCCTGTATCCCCACTGGTAGCTGACTTAGTGTGAAGCCTGAGGGTAGTCAGGGAGGCTTTCTGTGGGGAGAAGTCACCAGGTGGGCCTGGTAGGATGGATGGAACTGAAAGAAATGTCCTGATCTAAGGCCCTTATAGGTTCCCGGTGACCCCCATTAGATGGGAACACATCTGTTTTTGTAGCTCCCCAGGGTTGTGGAGAGAAATGCTGGAAAAGATAGGCAGCAGGCAGTTTCCTTACTTCTGGCTCTCAGCCCTAATCAGGCATCTCCCTCTTACACTTTGGCCCAGTCTCTGGGCCTGTGCTGGACCCAAGGTCTAGGACAGTTCCTATCCTCAAGGATTTACAGATAGTCTCAAGGGGTCAGAATTAGGCAATGAAATCCAGTTTGGCTCAGGGTATGTGAGTGTTCAGGCCATGACTAGTGTCAGGGCTCCAAAGTCACATCTAGCTTAGAGGTCAGCTTAAGGTTATGGGTCAGAAGGTGGCCTGGGCTAGGAACTAAGCAATGGACAAGGGTGAGTGTGGGTCAAGCTGTGCTCTGAGATGTTACTCAAACCATGATAGCTCTGAGGAACATACAGAGGTTTGGGGCGTACTTGAGATTCTCTCTCCTTGATAGCCCTGGGTTCATAGAGTTGTGGGCACTGTGTTTGGCCTCTGAGGTAGTGTGGGCTAGGAGGGTGCTTCACGGGGCAACACAGGCTGGCACCTGGGGGTCAACTTGTATCCCCACCTCATCCACCAGGCTCTAGCCCCATCTCCTCATGTCCCCTCCCAGCTAGCCTTTAAAGTGCGTAATTCGATTCCAGGATGCCTGTCCGGGTTGCAGGCCTGGCCCCCACAAAGGCTGCTCACACTCTCACATGTTCTCTGACAGAGTCCGGAGTCCCTCCTGCCTGGCCAGCTGCCCGCGCCTAATGCATTGCTAATAACCAGGGTCTAGTTTCACAAGCCCCCCTCCCCAGCTAACGAGCTACAGGCAGCAGCCCCGCGCGCGTCGCGGCGCACACGCCTTGCAGTGGACCTGGCACACTGCCCACCACACACACGGAAACATGCACACACACACGTGGTCCCCAGGAGGAACCATGCTCCATACATACATGTGCTAACATGGCAAAGCCATGCACTGGCCTGCACATTGGCAGAGCTGACCCCCACACTGAAGTGGGAGAGCAAATATGTGGGGCTCTGTAGCAAGAATATGTGTGGCCTGTGGCACGTGCTAGCTCTGTTCCATGTCTCATTGGCATTACAGTTGGCCAGATTTATGGCTCTTTTGAACTTGAGTTTTGCTCTGAACAGAATCTACTCTTCCTGATTCTTGATCTTAGAGGCAGGTGTATGATTGGAGGTGTGGGGGTGTAGAGGGGAGAGGAGAGAAAAATAACACTTGGATTTTCAGGAGGAGATGAGAGATACAGGTCAGGAATTGCACAAGAATGGACACCATGAGGCCTGGCAGGGGCTATCTGTCCATGGACAAGGTGGGAGACAAATACTGGGACCCAGTTTGGGTTTTCCTTCCCAGTGTCTTCTGGCCCTAACTCAGCAGGGAGGCCAGGAGACTGGATGGAGGACTCAGGGGTGAGGCCAAAGCCAGCAACTAGGGAATTCCTGCCAGTTGAGGATCCATTCTCTTAAGGAGGTGGATTAAGGGATTAGGGACAACCTAGCAAGAAGGGCTCAGGCCTAGGAGATGTGGCTGCCAGAGGGCATTGGGCTTCTGGGACATATTCCTAGAGGTTTGGTGTCCAGCATAAGCCAACCAAGGAGGTGGTAATTTGATCTGCTTCCCATAGCTCTTTCACTTTGGGGAAAGACAGATGTGGAGGTCTTGGAGGCAAAGGAGGACCTGGGGATCCCCAAATCCTGTTAAGAGGGAGAATGAGCTGAAGGAGCTGGAGTTACTCAGCCAGAGGGAGTCTTTGCAGAGCAAAAGGGGAATGGGGGATCAAAGGTGGAACTGAAGCCCAATTCTAGGAGAGGAGGGACTGTGGGGCCCACTGATCTTCCAGGGCTGGGAGTAGAATATACTAAGCCCAGGTCTGGGCCCAAAGTGGCTCTCACCCTGACCCTGACCTTTACCAGTGCCTTCTTCTGCCTCAGGGCCATAGACTCAGAGGGAATTGGAGGGGCTTCCCACTTCACTTGGACTGAACTGCACACACACAAATACACATACACACATGTATGTACTCACAGTCTGTTAGATCAGGTAGCCCAGACCCTAGTTTTGGGGGTGGGGGGGCGGGGGGAGATTGGAACAGGGACCAAAAAAGTCCTGAGGCCAGACATGGCCCAGAGCAGCCCCCTCCTCCGCCACCCCCACCGGCTGCCCCTGTTTATGAGGCGGCTTAATGAGGCAGCGGGTGCCGCTGAGATGAACCAGAGCCCAGCTTGGGCCTGGGAGGGGTGCTGGACAGGCAGGCCAGCCTGGAGTATGGGGGGAGACCAGCAGGATAAGGCTGGCTAGGGCGGGGGTGGGGTGATGATGCCTCTAGGAAAAAATGGAGCAGCTGTTCTGCTGTCTTACCACCCTGAGAGCTGCCCCCAATCCTTTTCCACCTCAGGCAGGGCCATAACCACATTGAGGCCTTCTTGAAGGGGAGACTAGATGGGCCAGGCTGGTGGGTGCATTGGGCATCCAGGAACACAGGCTCCGAACTGGAACTCATGATATGACAGAGCTGACTGAAGTCTGTTGCTTAGCATGTGCGTGTCCTTATTACAACCCTGTGAGATAGATCGTTAACACCGTTTTACAGATGAGGACCTCAAGGCTTAAGGAAGTTAAGTGACTTGGTCACCTAGCTAGTAGGGAATGGAGCTAAAATTTGGACTAAGGCAGCCTAGCTCCATATCTGTGTTTGTAACCTTCCCTATAAACAGCTTCTTGATGGGAGAGGGCTGCACAGTGCCATTCTTTCTCACCCTGTTACTCTTGTTACCTCTAGGCTGGGACTGAGGTCAGGCTCAGGCTGGGGATTGTGACAGAACTGGGATGACAGCAGAGTCCAAACACTGAGCAAAATTCTCCTGCCCTGGCCAGTTTGGCTCGGTGGTTAGAGTGTCGGCCTGCGGTCCAGAGAGACCCAGGTTCGGTTCCCGCTAAGGGCGCGTACCTCGGTTGCAGTTTGTCCCCGGCCCTTGTTGGTTGTGTGGGTGGCAGCCACTCGATGTGTCCCTTTCACATCAATGTTTCTCTCTCTCTCTCTTCCTCTCTCTTTCTCCCACTCTATCTGAACAAAAAATGGAAAAATGTCCTCGGGTGAGGATAAAAAAAAATTCTCCTTACTCTCCCCTATGGGTGCTTCCAGTCACCCTAAAGATTTTCTTACTCTCCGTCTGAACTATCTTTGCTCCATTGAGGGTCTTATCCCTGAGATGTCTTTACTCTCCCACAGGAATATTCTCAATACCCCCTCACTCCCCCTGGGAAGTTTTCATTCCCTACAGGGGTGTCTTCACTCCTTTCCCCAGAATTGTTCTCATTTCCTTTGGGGGTGCCTTACTCTTCTGACTCCCAGAGGTCCCTCCCACCCCCACCTCCCACCTCTTATCTGGCTGCAGGTGGAGCTGTCTGATGGCACAGCACACACCATCACAGATGCCTATGCTGGGAAGGAGTACATCATCCAGGTGGCGGCCAAGGACAATGAGATTGGGACGTGGAGTGACTGGAGCGTGGCTGCCCATGCCACACCCTGGACTGAGGAGCCACGACACCTCACCACGGAGGCCCAAGCTCCGGGTGAGCCTGCCCACCCACTGTGTTCTCAGTCAGTGCACTGTTGCTTGGCTTTATCCTGCTCCCTTCAACTCCTCCTGGGACTTAGACCCTCTGCCTCAGGGGACTCCATACTCTGTGGCTGCCATACTCCCATTTATCTGTCCAGCCTCTGCTGTTCCTGATTCTTGCTGTCTGACATTCTTTGTAGAGGCCATTGGGTGGAGGGATCATCTCTGAGCCTTGGGGAAACAATCTGTCTGATGCGGGCAGGCAGGCGTGTTTGAGAGAGGAGGTAGGGGCTGTCTGATGGGGAGGCAGCACTGGTGTGATACAGGAAGCAGTAACTGCTCCTCATGAACCCCCAGATCTGGGTGGGACTCCAGCCCCCACCCTGCCCTGAGTTTCCCCCATGTTCCCCAGAGACCACGACCAGCACCACCAGCTCACTGGCACCCCCGCCCACCACGAAGATCTGTGACCCCGGGGAGCTGGGCAGCGGCGGAGGACCCTCAGCACCCTTCTTGATCAGTGTCCCTGTCACTCTGGCCCTGGCTGCCGCTGCTGCCACTGCCAGCAGTCTCCTGATCTGGTAAGTCAAGTGAGGCTGGGCAGCAGAGGGGAGCCCATCCTACTCTGGTCCCTCACAGTTCCCTGCCCTGTCTCCCCAGAGCCCGGCATCCCACGAGGACATGCCAGCGCACCTGCAGAGGAGCAGGAGGCCGGAGCTGAGCCCGCAGACCCCGGTTTCTATTTTGCACACGGGCAGGAGGACCTTCTGCATTCTTTTCAGACACAATTTGTAGAGACCCCGGCAGGCCCGGGCCTGCCGCCCCCTAGCCCCACCACACCACACCGGTCCTCCACCCTCCCTTAGGGGAGGAGGACCACGCAGCTAACCCACCCACCAAAGATCACCTCACCCCGACCCTGCCCCCTCGGGCTGGACCCTCCAACGCCAGCGACTCCCAGGAGCCCTCGGGGGGCCTGAGGGGATCCTCTGACATCTACAACTTCTCCTTCTGCCCCAGCCTCCTGTCTCTCCCAGGGTCTCTGTTGCCACCATCAGATTATAAGCTCCTGACACTGGGGGGGCCCAGCCATCCCCCTCCCCCCAGCGCCCATACTTTTCAGTCCCTCACCTCTTTTCCTGTTTTGTACAACCTTTTCCTTTCCCTGCTCCAACCCCACAGTATTTAATGCCCTGTCAGTCCCTTCTAGTCTGACTCAATGGTAACTTGCTGTATTTGAATTTTTTATAGATGTATATACAGGGGTGGGGAGTGGGGGGTTCTCATTAAACGTCACCATTTCATGAGTCCTTGGAACAGACTGCTTTGGGAGGGTATTCCTATTCCAAGGATCCCTCTTCTTTCAGGCCTGGAGGAGGAAGAAATTATAGTTGGAGAAAGACTGCTTCTTTGGAGGGTAGGGCTCCCTGGAGGTCAGGGGCAGATTGTGGGGAATGAAGTGTCCAATGAGGCGGGTACCATATGGTGTCCAGTCAGTCCTGGATGCTTCTGGATCCTGGCAAAGCAGAAGCCTGTCAAGGGTCATCTCTGGAGCTGCCGTCCACAGGTGCCAGGCCTGGGCTTGATCAACTGAGGCAAAGATGCAAGAAGGTGAGGAGGCCAGGCTTCATCCTTGGGGCACGGGGTGCGGGTGTCATCCCCACCATCTAGGAGACAGGTTCCAGGGATTCTAGCAAATCAGGCCTGGGCTCAGCCAGGCCACAGAGCTCAGAGTGCAGACATCTTGGGCATGGGCAGATGAAGAAGGCCACTTGGAATGTGGCTAAGGGTCAGGCCTGTGCTTCAGGACTAGAAACGTGGAGTATAAGGTTTACCCGGCAGTTAGGTTATAGTTAGGACTCAGTGTGAGCAGGGGATGATTGAGCTTTGGTTTAACAGGGTGCCTAGTCCATCTCTACACCCTGTCCACACACTTCTAGTTTCCAAACTGGGACTCCAGGGTCCCTTTGGTTTCTCCTCAGAGGAGAGGCCTCTGGCTGCCACAGGCCTGCTCAGATCTAGGCCCCCTTGTAGAAGCCACCTCATTGTGGACCCTTAGCTGAGAATGCCCGGGGATGGGGCCAGGTTGATGGGTACCTTTGGCTGGGGGTGAGGGGAAAGTGTTAGACTAGAACCCCAACCGGGGGAGCTAGGCACAGCTTTTTTCTGAGTGGCGAAAACAAGAAGAGAGAAGTGGAGTCAAGGTTGTGTGTACACTGAGCCTGCGCAGTACTCCCCATGGCAGGCTCTGATACCACACCTCCACTAACAGAAGGGGCCGACACACACACACACACAAATTTAAATCCTTTTCCTCAGACCAGGGTACAAAAATGGACATTCCTTACTGGTCTCACCAGGCCTGCCTGGGATCATGCTCTGGGAGGAGGATTCAGAGTCCTCAGCACTGATGAGTCGGGCCTGGACAGGACTTGGGGCCAGGTAAGGGGCTCAGAGTGAAGGGGCCTGGCTCTCCTACGGCCAGGACCAGTGGAGAAGGGTGTTCCAGCTGGGAGATCCCATGGAAAGCAAAGGCCTGATGTCAGTGCAGAAAGGCCTGTGGCTTTTCAAGCTGAATAGCCCCAGCTGTGGGAGCACATGGCTCCTTGTTCATGGGGAGAAGCTTCCAGGCTGGACATATGGTAAGTGGCTGTGGACCTGCCTCTGTACCCTGGACCCCCAATTCTGCCTGCCTGTCTGGTCCCTGCAAGGTGTGGCTTGGGCCTGAACCTGCACTCAGGTCCAGTATCAGTGGAGGGGACAGGGACCACCGACTGTTGCCAAGGACATTGTATTCCTGGGATGGGTCTGAGCCTACCCCTTCCCTATCCTTGAAGTATGGGGGCTGAAGTTAGGGGGTCTCTGGCCTGTGCTGTCTTCCTGCCTTGAGAGCCTTGGTCAACCCTGACCTACCAGCCGCCCACCCAGGGCTTGGGCATCAGCAATCTGGCCTCCATTAGCAACATGGGAAAGCAATTATGTGGGGTCTGGGGAGGAGGGGTGGGGTGGCTGCTGGAGCCTTGGAGGCTGGTAGGAAGGAGGACTGGGGCATCTCCCTGCCCCCAACCCCAAGAGAGAGACCAGCCCCTTTCCAAGCCCTAGGGTGGCTAGAAGGGCAGTGCTATGCCCCTAACCAGACTGGGCCTGGAGTCATCCCTCCTTGGGAGTTCTGGCCCTTGGCCTCACAGAGGCTGCTTGCCTTGAAGGGGCTTGACTGTTATCTGCTGCTGCCTCTCTCAGGCTCTTCCTTTACATCCATTATTTCTCATGGTGGTTCTGGGGATAAGTACAGACATCACATTTTGAAGCTAAGTCAGAATCTGGAGAATTAAAACACTGCTGAGGGGTCTGCTGTGGGGGAGTTGGATCTAAGGCCCAATGTGCATAGCAGCCCAGCCTCTCAGCTCACGAGTTCTTTGTTTCCTCAAGGTGCTCTGGCGATGGGGCACTCCTCTAAGCCCCATTGTTACAATGCTAATTTGTCTCTGTCCCTAACCACTTCTTGCTGAATCAATCCCTATCTCTGTCTCTGTTTCTCCCATTCCTATCTCAAGATATTTCTTTGTCCCAGTCCCTATTATGTTTCTCTCCTTATGTCTTTATTCCATCTCTGTCTCTCTGTGTCTCCATCTCCTATCTCTGCTGCCCTGTTTGTCTCTCTCTAACCATCTCTTTCTCTGTCTTCATCCCTGTCTTTGCCTTCTTGTTTCTCCTGTCTCTCAATCTTCCCTTTTTCTACCTTTCTCCCTTTCTGTCTCTGTGTGTCCACCACCATCTCAGAGTCTCTGTGTGTCTGTTTCTCACTGTTTATCTCCATCTTCGTGTCTCTTTGCCTCCCTCTGTGTTCCTGCGCTGGTCCAGACTCCAGCCTGTGGCCGCTGTGTCTCTCTGACCTGAGCTGGGGGCTATCCTGGCTTCTGCTGCCCCCTCTCGGCCACCTGCCTGCCCTTCATTCCTGCTTCTGGGCAGGCGGCTATCCGCACACACATCCCACATCTGCCTTCCAGCAGCCAGCCAGGAGAGAGGGAGGTGGTTGGGAGACACTAGGCAGGAATCCCTCCTGAGTAGCCTCCGGCCCTGAGAACACCCCAGAGCTAGTGAGCTCACTAACAACCTAGGCTGGGACTCTGAGGAAGTTCATTTTCACATGGAGAGAACGGAATGTTTGGCTCCAGTCCCTAGCTTTGTACACTGCACCTGTGTGTCTATGTTTTGAGGCCCACGTGTTCACTGTGCCCACACCCCAGAGCTACTGAACCTGACCCTCAGATGGTAACACCTGTCTTGGGGTGCAGGGCTAAAGCCCTGGGGGCAGAAAGGGTTGGGTATAATCTTCACACCCTTCTGAAGGAGGGCAAAGCAGGGAAGGAGATCTGAGGAGTGGAGTCTGATAGAGCCCGTCTGAGGAGGGAGGCTGGAGGGGACCTTATCTGATGGCCACTCTGATGAGGAAGGCTAATTTGAAGGTGAGTGGGTCTGAGGGCCTGTGTGACATGATTACTCTGAAGGGAGGCTGGTCTGATCCATGCTGCTGAAGAGATCTTGGAGAGGCCAATCTGAGGGGTAGGCCAATCGAGAAAGGGTCTGAAGGGTCCAGTCTGAGGAGAGACTACTCTGAAGGCACATGGGTCTGAGAATAGGATTACCAACTAGTCCTAACTTGCTTGGGACTTTCTCAGTTTTAGCACTGAACATCTCAAATCTTGGGAAACCCCTCAATCCCAAGCAAACCGGGACTGTTGGTCACCCTATTTGAGAAGGCCTTGCCTAACAGCACCAGACTGATGGGGGAGGCTGATCTGTGTGTGAGTAGATTCCAGGGGGCCTGGTCTGAAAATGCCAGTCTGAGGGAAGAGGCTGTTCAAGGGTAGAAACATTTTTGGGCAGTAATCAGGCCCAGAAGGGAGTAGATAGTTAAGGTCCTTCCAGAAGGGCAGTGGCTTGGGGCGTGGCCACCAGGGGGCAGGGCAAGCTCTCAGGAGAATCAGAGGCAAAGGCCCCAGGAAGGAGCCAGTGTGGAAAGTGTGCCTTCAATAGCATGCCCTGTGCCTCACGAGCTAGTTTGTGGTGATGGTGTACAACCATGTAATTGTGTTTTTGAGTGACTAGGTGACCAGGGGCACATGTGTGGTGTGTGAGTGTGTGGTCTGTGATGGAGAGTATGTATACCTAGTGTGGTTATGCCTGAGGCCTTACCTGGGCCTATATGGAAGAGAGCAGAAGCACCTTGGAGCGCCAGGGCAGGGAGGCAGTGGGAGTGAAGCAGTCAGAGAAGGTTCCCTGGAAGGGGCTGAGATGGGGAAGAGAGACGGGATCCAGGCTTCCCGACCTGTGCCTGCTCCTGCCCACCATAGTATTCCCTGAGAATCCCGACACAAGAGGTAAGTGCTTTGCTCACACTTAGGCATAGCCCCAGACCAGTCTGCATGACTAGGCCCTGCCTTCCTCTCTAGCTTCTCTCCTGCTTCCTTCAGCTGGCTCTCCTCCAGCTGAACACTGCCCCTTCTCCTGCCTAGCCCTGTTCCCCTAACATTGTTCCTATCTCCTACGCCCACACCTGGGTTCATGCTGCGCCCTGCCCAAATGCTCTCATGTGAAGCATTTGCGGTCCCTCTGATGTTGCCTTCATGAAACACTCCCTGTTCATTCCCTCTTTACCACGGACTGAACACCCACTATGTGCTGAGGCCTAGTCCTGTGGGCCTCTTTCTCCACAGGGACTTGAAAGGGCTGGGGACTGGGAGCTGCTAAGGTCTTGCCCATTGGAGGTTCTGAGGGGAGAGGTGTGGACCAGGCAGGCAAAGCCAGGGATCTTTGGGTTAGGACAGCAAAGTGAAGCCGGCATAGAATCACTTCACCCCATCCTAACCCCCACTAACAAAATGAACAAACGCCAAACAAAACAAAACAAAAAATGCTGCAGCAAACTCAAGTCCACCCAAATAAGGAAATTCTTTTTATAAACCTTAAAAATGTGATAGCCAACCCTGGCCAGGTGGCTCAGTTGGTTGAGTGTCATCCTGTACACCAAAAGGTTGTGGGTTTGATTCCCAGTTAGGGCATATACCTAGGTTGCAGGTTTAATCCCCAGGAGGCAACAAATTGATGTTTTTCTCTCATATTGATGTTTTCCTCTCCTCTCCTCTTTTCTCTCTCTCTCTCTCTCTCTCTCTCTCTCTCTCTCTCTCTCTCTCTCATATCCTTGGGTGAGGATTAAAAAGAAAAGTTATAGCCAAAGAACGTAACAGAAGATGATTCTGGTGCAAAAAGTGAGTGGTATGTTTCCTCACCCTATGCCCAAAACTAG